GGACCTAAATGAGAAAGGATGCCTGCGGAATGTGTTTTGGGCGGAAGCAAGATTTAAGGCTGCATATAGTTATTTTGGTGATGTGGTCAGAATTGACACTGCTTGTTTGACCACCAAATACGAGGTTCCACTAGTGGTAATTGCCGGAGTTAACCACCACGGACAGTCTGTCCCACTAGGCTGTGGTTTGATTGCAGGAGAGACTGTAGAGTCATTTATATGGTTGTTAAGGGCATGGCTAACGTACATGGTTGGCCGCCCTCCTCAGACCATCATAATTGCCCAATCTAGAGCTATGCAAACTGCTATTGCTGATGTTCTCCCGCGGTCAGCTCATTGTATTTCCTTGTCACATATCATGAAGAAAGTTCCAGAGGAATTGGGCGGGTTGCATGAATATGAAGTAATCAAGAAAGCATTTACTAAAGCAATTTACCAATCATCAAGAATAGAAGAGTTCGAAGCAGCTTGGGAGGACATGATACTACACCATAGAATTAGGGACCATAAATGGCTCCAGACACTCCACGACGATCGTAAACACTGGGCCCCTGTCTATTTAAAGGATACATTTCTGGCAGGGATGGTTTCTGTGACACTCAGTGAGAGAGAGGCTTCTCCTTTTGATGAGTATTTGGCTAACCATACTTCCCTAAAAGTGTTCCTTAACAGCTATAACCAATGTCTGAAGGAAATCTATCTAAGAGAAGCATTGGCTGATACAGAATCAAGGAATTCCAGTTTTATGTTGAAGTCAAGATTTTATTTTGAAATGCAGCTATCTAAAGTTTATACGAATCACATATTTGAAAAATTCCAAATCGAAGTCGAGGGAATGTTTTCGTGTTTAAGCACAAGACAAGTAAGTATTGATGGGTCAGTTGTAACTTACATTGTTAAGGAACATGAAGTTGAGAATGTGAATGAGGCACGAGATTATGAGGTTACGTTGAATACAGCTGTTGCGGAAGTTCTTTGTGCTTGTGGTTTATTCAACCTGGAGGGTTTCCTGTGCAGGCACGCATTGTGTGTTCTAAGTCAGAACAGTTTCGAGGAGATCCCACCTCAGTACATTCTTTCACGCTGGAGAAAGGATATCCACCGTAGTTATATTCTTGACTATGGTTGCAATTTGATTGACACCAAGAATCCAGTCCACAGGTATGATAATTTGTACAAGTGTGCTGTGAAGTTGGTTGAAGAGGGGAGAAAATCGCGTGAACGATACAAGTTCACTTTAGAAGCTTTGGGTGAGATATTGAACAAAGTTAGTTTGCAAGATCATAACACTCTTTAGCTTTTTAAGAAGAGGTGAAATATGTAAAATAGAACAATGTGCATCATTCTTCAGGATTATGCATGCTTTGTAATGTGCTAATGTAGGCATGCTCATGTTTATGGATGTATGCACAGAAAATCTACACTATAATGTAAAATAGATCTGTGTTGATGATCTATCCTTATTTTTGGTCACTATTTGCACAGTATGCTTAGAAAATGAAAATATATAGCAAGGAATTATGCATTATATATGTTGATCAAGTTATTTTTTTGAAAAAAGAGTAGTAAAACTGAATAAAAAGCACAGTCGCCAGTTGTATCTTGCTTCTCTTCAACTTCTGCAGCATTGTTATCCTTTGAACATGAGGTCATTCTTATGAGAAGTTAAGACTTCTAAAATAAGCAAATACTTATTTACCTATATTAATTTATTTTCTTTAGTGTTATCAGCTTTGACGATTTTCTTCATGAATCATACTTGCTGGTGAAATAGAAGGATTCGTAGTACTCGCACTGAAGTCTTTATATACATGATTGATGGTGAATGTTAGACGCAAACTATGTGTAATTTAATAAATTTGTCGCTGAGGAAGATGTATTAATGTAATTTAATTGAATAAACCGTACAGGTTTTTAACCAAAAATATAAAATTTACTATGCATTCCAGATATTCAATTGGTCAGAAAACCTGATTTTCAGTTGTTTTTACACTTCAAAAAAGCAAGAAGGATATATTTTTTGGAGTGTCCAATTGTCCCACATCGGTGGAAGCTAAAATGTAGACAGCGAAGAGTTGCTATAAAAACGAAGGCCCGACTCCTTAGAAAAGCATACCTTTCTCGGCCTTTTGGCTAAGATCAAGTGTAGTATCTGTTCTTATCAGT